TTTATTTATTTATTTATTTAATCACTTTCACCAGAGTGTGGTGAGGGTCGCACAACAGAGCGAGGCTCCAAATTAAGTGCGCCCTATATCCCACCCATCCCACCCCAGGGGAGGACATCCATCACACAGTAATCTCGTGTGTGGGAAATTAACGTCTCCTACCCCAACCCTGCAGGAGACGGGACCTCCATTTATTCGTCCCTATCCGAGAAGACTAGAATATCTAACCATTTCTTGATGTTATAGAAAGGTAGCAAATTCTCCTCAATTATTTTAAGACCCTGAGTGTTGGTCCGGCCGGGGTATCTTACGGAGAATGTAAATGTTTATGCCGCTTTTAGCAGAAATCAACATGCAATCTTTTATATCAGTCCTTCAATTTCCTTTTACCATCAAGTGCGCCATAATTTGTTTCTTCGTGCCTTCTTGTTAATGCCATGTAAATTCGTGATCTCATTCGGGAAATCTTATGAAAAGTTACAACAGAAAATAATGTCTTTAGGGAATAAAGAGGTTTGACATTTTATAAACATGTACGTCAAAATACCGTGATAATATCATTCCAGGCATGAAATTAATTCAAACTGTTTGCTGGCAAAGAAATTTCTAGATCTCTTACTGCATATTAACAACTTGCAGTTGAGATTTAAAAAAAATAGTTTTGACAGTAAACGAAGCCTATTGAAATGATTTTTGTGAAGGACCTTAGGTTCTAAGATGTACATCCATCCTATGGCATCCGAGTCCTAGATTTGTTGGTTTCCGCATTTCTTGGATACAACATTTGACGCTCGAGAGGGAAATATTTTAGTTTTATTTACTAAGTGCTAGGACATGGCATCCCAACAGAAAGGAAATTCAAAGCGTACATAGATAAGATTTCACTTGAAGTTGTGTAACCACTTTCCGTATTCCATGATTTTGACATGTACAATTAATAGAGCCAGTACCCATGTGCGATAAAGTATGACGAAAGACCTTTTTTTCCCTTCTCTCTTACATACATAAATCCCTGTTTAATTTTACTTAAGATATATGGTTGATCAAAAATAAATCTCTCTTCGGATTTTGGTTGAGGATAGCAATCTCCAGAGCTTCCGCAGCCTATGGCTCTTCAGCCTTTTGCGGACGAGCAGCTGAATTATTTCAAATTTGCGTCCATTGTACTCAATGAGTTCCCCATTGGTTTACGTCAGACGTTTAAATCAATGTGGGACAACTTAATTGGACATCGTCCCGGATATCAACTCTGGGATGACTCCACGGTGGTAAGAAATTTGTTTCTTGCTGAAAAAGGTGGAAAAACCAAAGTCTCTACACACCTATCTTATGAAGAATGGGATTGCACAGCTCTGTTCCAGGCCACCATACATGCTAGGTCATTTGCTACGCCAGATAGCAAAGGTTATTACAGGACACTTGGTGAACTGTACGTAAGGTACCATAAAGTACCTCCTGGAAAGTTCCATGCATATGTAGTGAGTCCAAGTGGAAATAGAGCCGAAACCTTCGCTCTTGCGATTGATCAGCTTCGACTATTTAGAAACACGCTTTGTCACTCTGACAGGTCTGAAATTGATAAACCAACCTTCGACCAATACGTGAAGCTCGCTAAAGAAGCATTCAAAGCTGTTGGTGTCAAGACAGATCCCATCGATGCTACCGGTGGATTGGCGGAATCTGACTTTCCCACCAAAGAGGTTCGCAGATTGGAAGAAAGTCTTCGACAGGAGACCAGATCATATATCGAGTGTCTCGAAGAATTAAGACCAACTGTCGAGTGTCTCGAAAAGGTGAGATCAAGTGTCGACGAATTAATAGCACAGGGGAATGTCATCAAAGGAAAAGTCGAAGACCTTGCTTTATTGGAGCAAAAAATAGACGATCTGAAACAAAATAGGAATCAAGACCATACACCAGGTAAAAATTTATTATTAATTAATAGCTCTGACTTTTAAAGGGAAAAAACTTAATCATGCAAGGCAGCAGAGTATTCTAATCGCTACTTCCATAGACAAGAGGGATACAAGCGATTTTTTCTCCTTACTTAAATAGCATTAATTAATTTAAGAGCACAAGAGCATTTGATCATCTGCAAATGGAATCTGCGCACTACAAATATTAAACTATTAAACAACTACCTGTTTCCTTGAAATCCGCCTCCCGGTTAGCTACCGCCTCCCGGTTAGCTCAATGGATAGAGCGCTGGACTGTTGTGCGGGAGGTCGAGGGTTCGAGCCCCGGCCGGACCAACACTCAAGGTCTTAAAATAATTGAGAAGAATATGCTTCCTTTCTATAACATCAAGAAATGGTTAGATATTCTAGTCTTCTCGGATAGGGACGAATAAATGGAGGTCCCGTCTCCTACAGGGTTAGGGGTAGGAGACGTTAATTTCCCACGCACGAGATTACTGTGTGATGGATGTCCTGCCCTGGGGTGGGATGGGCGGGTTAGGATTGATTGTAAAGTGCTGTTGATCTGTCATTGTAAATAGCGCTCTATAAGTGATAAATTGTAAATTGTAATTGTAATTGTAATTGTAACGTTTAGAGAATGTCTATCAAATAGTTTTCCTATGCTCTGATTTCAACTTCTTGAACAAGAGTACCACCTTAAGCTACCTATTATTTTTATGATTTTTCCAAGGAATAAACCCCACTTACTATATTTACTGCCTCTGTGACTCACATCGGATGAGGTTGGAGAACACCATAGAAAAAGCACGAAGCTTGTGGCACCTCAAAAACAAAAACTTATGTTCAGATATTTTATGGTACCGTATAATGATCCCTTTTTGTGATCACTATTTTCATTTGTTTTCCAAACCAGCGTGATTGCAACTGGCTCGTTTACGATCCTTTTTTTTTTTGTTTCTTTCAAGATTCAAAGCCATTCATTCCACCATCAAGTCTTCCTTCAAAGATTCCACACTTCACTGGCCGTCAGAGAGAGTGTGAAGAGATTAGCAGTCACTTGACTTCCAAAGGTACCCGGATCGTGTCGTTATGGGGCTCGCCTGGTTTTGGTAAAACTTCTGTAGCAACTACTGTCGGACATCAACTTCACTCTGGAGGACTACCTGTGTACTTCTTCTCCATGCGAGGACTCCCGTCAAAAGCAGATCTGACTTGGAAGCTTCTGAGCTTCTTTAAAAGACACTCCTCGATAGATCAAATACCTCAGGGAATGTCCATAGACGATGAACTTTCCCTCTTTTTAAGCGAAATTTCAGATGAATTTGTGATGATTCTCGACAACGCTGATGACTTACTCGAAAGTGGAGTTCCGAACGTGAGAGAAGATTGCATAAAATTCCTTGAAGTCATCGTCAGTCAAGTTCAAAATGCATCATTTCTTATTACGACAAGGGAATCTCTCGAGTTCATGGATGTGCATTTCCAAGGCCATCACCCAGTGAGAATACGACCCTTAGACGAGTTCTTTTCTCAAAGTTTAGTGGGTGGATTACTTCCAAGTGCGACAATGACTGACTGCTCGAAAATTGCAAAAATCTGTGGGAATGTACCTTTGGCCATGAAACTATTGTGTTCCTCCATTTCTGAAGATAATGCTCAGCCGAGTCAATTTCTAAAGGAGTTGGGGGAATCTACAGAAAGAAACGTTTTCGACTTATTAGACAAGCCAGACTATCCTAGTAATCTGCGATTGAACTTCCTATTTGAAACCTCTTTTACGAGACTCTCTTTACCAGAAAAAGAAGCTCTTGTATCTCTTAGTGTTCTTTCAGAGGACTTCAACCTATCGGTTGCTGCAGCTGTTTTGGATGTCAAATCATGTATTGAGGCTAAGAAGGTCTTGCATGAATTTCGAAGGAAATCTCTTCTCGACTCCAGCTGCAAACCTGACTCATTTTCTATGCATAAATTGCTTCTTTCGTTTGCAAGAGAAAGAGGCGAGGATGAAATGAAAGAAACGATTGTCAACTCCAAAGCACGTTTGTCTGCATTTTACGTCTCTCTTTTCGAGAAGCTAAATGAACAGTTTTTGAAAGGAAATTCCATGCAAGCATTTATTGATTTCTTTGAACAGGAGCAGAACATTATTCATAGTCTTATGGAGAGCTGTTCCGATCCTATGACATGTGTCGTTGCATTTGGTGTCCTGACGAAAGCGGAAGTGTTCGTAGATTCCCTTTTCTGGTGCGAGGAAGCAACCATTCACAAAATCTACGATTATGCGATAAAAGCAGCTCAGAAGTTTGGAGAAAACGTGTTCTATAGTCAGTTACTGGTGTCCTTAGCATTTGCCCAGGTGACTTGGGGGATACATGGAAGATCGATGTCGTTGCTCTCTGAAGCCGAAGGCCTAACTTTACCGGTAGATGATAAAGGAAAGCTCCTGTGTTATAGAGGCATATGTCAACTGGCTTCAGGGAAAATAGACAACGGAGTTCAGAACTTATAAGAGGCTCTTTTCTTGATGGGTAACAGCACTGACGAACTAATTCTCAAGGTGACTGTTTTGCAAATTCTTGTAACCTACTTTCGTTTCAAAGAAAAGAGAGGAATTGCATTACAGCTTTACATAGCAGCTTTACAAGAATGCAAAGCATTAGGTGACACAAGTTTTCTCGTTATTCCTCCATTGAAGAACAGAGAATTCAAAATTATCCAAGGAAGAAGCCGGAACCAGATTCTACAACCGCTGGACCACTACGATTAAAAATGATTTGCGTTATTAGCGAAGCGACAAAACAGTTCTCTGATTATCAGACAAAGGAAGCAATAAGTAATTCTGTGCTAAAAATATGTAAAGAAATAGGAAATTCAAGCACTCCACACTCAATTGGCTTATGGAACTTCCAACGCAACGTCAATGATACACTAAGCAACGTGACGAATAATCCCAAAGTAGCAGTAAAATTATGCAAGACAAGGATCAGTTATCACAAAATGACCTTGAACCAAAGGGGAAAAGTCACCGTAGAGGATGACCCTAAACCCAACGACAATCTGGATTTAAACGTGCACCAGGAAGGATTATTAAAAAACTATTTGGACCATGGCTACGCTCTTTACAGGATGCAAAACTACTCTGGCGCCATTCAGTCTTATCAGTGTGCCCTTGACACCGCATTAGGACTGTTCGGGAAAGAACACTCAGACACAGCTCAGAGTTACTTTTCTCTCGGAGTAACACAAAATGCCCTAGGCGACCTCCCGTCAGCACTTCTGTCCTTTCAGCGTGCTCTTGACATAAGAGTTAGACTCTTCGGGAAAGAACACACTAAAACAATTGAGAGTTCCTTTTTTCTCGGAGAAACACAACACGCCCTCGGCGACTTCTCGTCAGCACTTCAGTCCTTTCAGCGTGCTCTTGACAAAAGCGTTAAACTCTTCGGGGAGGAACACACAAAAACAGCTGAGAGTTCCTTTTTTCTCGGAGAAACACAACATGCCTTAGGCGACTTCTCGTCAGCACTTCTGTCTCATCAGCATGCTCTTGAAATTAAAGTTAAACTCTTCGGGGAAGAACACACAAAAACAGCTCAGAGCTATTTTTCTCTCGGAGTAACACAACATGCCTTAAGCCAATTCTCGTCGGCCCTGCAGTCAAAACAGCGTGCTCTTGAAGTCCGAGTTAAAATCTTTGGGGAAGAACACTTGGATACAGTTAGGACTTACTTTTCTCTCGGCTTGACACAACATGCTTTAGGCGACTTCTCGTCAGCACTTCGGTCCCATCAGCGTTCTCTTGACATTAGAAATCTGAAACTCTTTGGGGATGAACATCTGGACACAGCTGACAGTTACTTTTCTCTAGGAGTAACCCAACACGCCTTAGGTGACTTCTCTTCAGCACTTCAGTCTTCTCAGCTTGCTCTTGACATAAGAGTTAAACTCTTCGGGGAAGAACACCTGGACGTAGCTGAGAGTTATTTCTCTCTCGGAGTAACACAACACGCCTTAGGCGACTTCTCCTTAGCACTTCAGTCAAAACAGCGTGCTCTTGAAATCCGTGTTAATCACTTCGAAGAAGAACACCCAGACACCGCTGAGAGTTATTTCTCTCTCGGAATAACACAGCATGCCTTAGGCGACTTCTCGCTAGCAGTTCAGTCAAAACAGAGTGCTCTTAAAATCCGTGATAACCTAATCAGGGAAGAACACGTAGACACACCTAAGAGTTACTTTTCTCTCGGAAAAACGCAACATGCCTTAGGCGACTTCTTATCAGCACTTCAGTCCTTTCAGCATGCTCTTGACATAAGAGTTGAACTCTTCGGGGAAGAACACCTGGACACAGCTCAGAGTTATTTTTCTCTCGGAGTAACACAACATGCCTTAGGCGACTTCTCGTTAGCACTTCACTCCCATCAGCGTGCTCTTGACGTAAGAGTTGAACACTCGGGGGAAGAACACTCAGACACAGCTGAGAGTTACTTTTCTCTTGGAGAAACACAACATGCCTTAGGCGACTTCTCGTCAGCACTTCAGTCAAAACAGCGTGCTCTTGACATAATAATTAAACTCCTCGGGGAAGAACACCCAGACACAGCTGAGAGTTACCTTTCTCTTGGAGAAACACAGCATGCCCTAGGCAACTTTTCGTCAGCACTTCAGTCACAACAGCGTGCTTTTGACATAACAATTAAACTTTTCGGGAAAGAACACCCAGACACAGCTGAGAGTTGCTTTTCTCTCGGAGTAACACAACACGCCTTAGGCGACTTCTCGTCAGCACTTCAGTCTAAACAGCGTGCTCTTGAAATCCGAATTAAACTCTTCGGGGAAGGGCACCCAGACACAGCGCGGAGTTACTATACTCTTGGAGTCACAAAACTAGCCTTATGCGACTTTTCGTCAGCGGTTCCATCCTTTCAGCGTGCTTTTAACATCAGAGTTAAACTCTTTGGGGAGGGACACCCAGATTCAGAACTAAGTTACTGTTCAGTCAGCGTAGCACAACGGTTTCTCGGTGAATCTACCTCAGCTGTGCGATAATCTACACGGCGTGCACATGACATTTTGTTGGAACCCCAACAAGTTGTTTATAATAAGTATTTACTCACACTAAAGCTGAAGAGGATATGCTGAGGGACTCTATTACATGAAAGGGTTAAGGATTTAGGTCTAATTATGGTGTTATAGAAAGTTCAAAGTTAAACAAGCTAAAGGTAACATACTCTGATTAAATTTAAAGGTATCTTTCTTAAGCAAATAAAGCATGATCAACTAGCTTTCATAATTTTGCTAAATGGCTGACGATGAATAAGCTACAATCACATGTACTTAATATTCATGTCTGATGTAAATTTTGTCTTCAACACTGAAAAGCATTGCTGTCATTTTGGTTCGAACTCTTTCAAGGAAACACTAATTAACCTAGTTACCCAAAGGGGGGAAGTGGGGCAGAGGTGAGTTTTTGTCCTGACTTTGCTCCTGGGATACACCCCTGAGCCTTTCAGACTCGATCTAAGGCTTTTAAAAATCATCATAAAATTCTTGGACGCTTATTG